TTTGAAAAAAATCAAGCTCCGCCCCCAAATCGGCAGGTGTCAAGGTGGGGCCACTTCTTAAAATGATTTTCAGACTGTTTTGGATCTGCATGCCGTATTTCATGCTCTTATCACAAATTTGGGCACGGTTTGGGCAAAAATATTGAGCCTAAGGAGCTCCACTGTTGACCAGGATATATACGTGTACATTTGTATACAGTAGAAACATATATAAATACAATCTTTAAATCATTCTTTAGTAACTTTATCCGACTTTTTTCCGTTCTTAAGTAGCATTTGTGGTATCAGGGGGTCAATCTCAACACTAACGTCCAAAAACGGCACTTGTGCGAGACATGTTAATCAAACTCGAAGTTTTGGACACTTGACCATGGTCCCCTGACCCCCATCTGACCTAGGGCAACTTGAGAATGGCCATTTCAGAACTACGTACCCCTGACGGGCAATCGATTGGTACCATCAAACCTTTTGCGCTCTAATTGTTAATCAAACTTAACCTAGCTCCCAGTCTATATATGTTTTGTTCATCTTCAAAGTTCAGGTAATTCTTTGTACAATTTTTAAAATCGGACAAAAAATAACCGAGATATGATTTGTTAATGTTTTTGGACCATTTGTCTATTGCCTATCCTGAAGAACCGTAGACCCGTTCAAATGCGTACAGTCAAAGTGGCGTCCGTATAAGACATTCTTACGTTAGAGCTTATTAATGTGACAGGGCTCCATTTTCCCTAGGACTTCTTTTGATCGAATGACAGATTCTCTGCGACTGGAATTTCTTGAATAAAGTCTTATTTAGGTACTGAAAATAATGATACTGTTAAATTTCGGGACTAGTGAAAGGTTTTCAACCGGAATCCCAAACATGGCGTAAGACTTTTGTTTTATGAACGGAGCGTGACTATGAATTGTATTTGTAGCCACGTTTAAGCCCCTGTCACACCTTTGCGTATCGTAATTCCTTATGAGTTCCTTATCAACAATTTTCAATACGCAGCCGCACGCTCAATTAACGTCGAAATGTTTTGATCACTTTGACTTATGTGCGACGCACATCTAGCGTACAAGTAACGAATTCAGCGCATCCATTGCGTATGAGATGCGTATGAGTTGCGTATGCAGTGCACGACATTATTTTCGGGCTGCGAATAGGTAAGTATGCAGTGCGCATGCCGAGCGTATTCCGGACGCACCCGACTGATGCCGACCGCATGCTTGACGCACTTTTGAGCGTACTCCCGCCGCATTTTCGCCGCTCGCCGTTCAGCGTGCGTTGCATATGCGCTGCAAGTACGCTATGTATACGTCCAATACAGGCGGTTCATATTATGCTGACGGGGTGCGTCACCAACCTCGTGCCCCGTGGGTACGATGTTGTTTCCCATAATGCCTTGCGCGATCATAACCCCTGGAATTGTGTAATTTAAATATACCGAAATGCGGTATATTATAATTAGGGCTGCAGTCAACCTCGTCCCCAGGGTGTCGAGCAGTACGCGCCCACCACTACCTGCTCTCCCACCCTGGTATTGGATCATTTGCATGTGCAAGATTTTTGAACACGTATGCAAATTAGGAGTAGTCTGGTGCCTGCCTGTGCGTTACATGCGTTTGTTTCTGTATGCGGTGTCTGGGGTAAAAACATAATCAATTCGTCGCAGCGCGAACATGGCGTGAATTACGAAAACATGATTTTATTTTAATTAAAATGTTACGATCGCATTATGGGCGCGCCCAGCGTGCAATCTTCAAAATGCCCGCGCAGTACGCTGTGAATAGCCATTCAGCGTCATTTACGTCATCATCACAGCAAGGGGTTAGTGTAAGGAACGAGCACGCGCCCCTGGAGTCGAGGCTGGTGCGTCACGAACACATAGCGTATTCGTAACGTACTCGACCGATGCGGGACCGATGCGCTGCGTATTTATAACTTATGACCTGCATAACAGCGTACGCAGCGTAGTTTAATTTGTGCATGCCCAAAACTATCCTGCGTATTAGGCCGTACCATGCGTATATCTGCGTGCATAAAACCTACACAAAACGAAAGAGATGCATATGAGGTGCGTATTTTGCGTCCGACTGCGTACGAAAAAAATGTCAATGCGCAACTCATAAGGAATTAGGATACGTAAAAGTGTGACAGGGCCATACCGGGTCGAGGTGAAACGGTAGTCCCATAGTGTGTGGTCTCCTGGCCTTGTTTATAGCTTTTATTTGGTAAACAATAAAGTTCAAAGGGTTAGGACGGTCGGGATGGTAGGGAGGAATGAGCCACTCCCTATCCATGAAGTATCCCATACGACCAGCGTCTCAAAAAGCCTCTCATAACCAAACTCCTACTGCTTGGCTTCCCGCGCCGACCCTGTTTAAAACCGATGGCAGAGGTGTGATTGGCGAGTATCTGGCGCCTTAAAACCAGACTGCTCCGGGCAGATGGGGCTCGTAAGCCTTGGAAGGCAACCCATCTAGGAGAAGGAAAACTCTGATTTCAAACACGAGCAGATGGGGCTCGTAAGCCATGGAAGGCAGCCCATCAGGAGAACGCCTATCCTCAATATCACCATTCAAAATAGCTGGCGGAAGAACCAACAACTGTGGTCAACGGCAACAAGTTGAATGACATGTGTGTGGTACACCAGGGGCGCAGCAAGGCGTGTATAATGCGAAGCGGCCAACCACCGTGGAAGAGCTTGGGACCTCACCACGTATCAACCCATAGTTTGCAATGGACCAAGAATTAAAAGAAACACGAGATGCAGGTGAAGTTGGGACCCCTGCAATAGAACTTGCTGTAAATAACCACAGGGAAGAGGTGTATCATCTGGAGAATAGGGTAGACCTTGATGACGATAGACCCCTATCCGACGGCATCTACCTGAAAACCAGACAGAAGCACCTGCGAATCGCGACTTGGAATGTGAGAAGTCTTTACAAACCAGGTAAACTTGATAATCTGATTCAAGAAGCAAAGGATATGAACATTGATGTGCTTGGAGTCTGTGAAACCAGATAGATAAAAGCAGGTTACGTCGACAAAGACAGTCGCAGTTTTATCTACTCTGGTGGATCCAAACACATGCAGGGAGTTGGAATGCTTCTCAAGAAGAATATCACTGAATCCCTCATGGGATATTGGACAGTCGACGAAAGAATAATGCTGGTAAAGATACGGGCAAAACCTTTCAACATAACCATCTTACAGGCGTACGCACCAACACAAGATTATTCTGACGACGAGATCGAAGACTTCTATGGAAAAATAGAGAACACCATCAGACAAGTTAAATCAAGTGATGTACTTATAGTCATGGGAGATTTCAACGCCAAAGTTGGCAGATCACACCAACCACCCACAACAGGCAAATATGGCCTAGGAGAACAAAACGACAGGGGAGAAAGACTAATACAATTCTGCGAGGAGCACAATCTAGTTATTGGGAATACCTTTTTCCAACACCCACAAAGAAGATTATACACCTGGTCAAGTCCAGGAGACATGTACCGGAACCAGATAGACTTCATCATGATCAGAGGCAGATTTAAAAACAGCTTCAAACAGGTAAAGACATACCCTGGAGCAGACATCTACTCAGACCACAACCCAGTAGTGGCGACAATTGCATTGAAAGTGAAGAAAACACAAAATCCAAGCTACGGCACAAAGAAATATGATCTATCTACTCTTCAACAACCAGACATGCGGCATTCATACGCAGTTGAGGTGCAGAACAGATTTGAGACACTGCTAAAGGAAGACACCGAACAACATAAAAGCGACGTAGGCAGGATAGAGGCACAATGGAAAAACATAAAAGAAAGTATACAACATGCCAATGAGGAAACTCTTCACCGGAAGGAAAGAAAGGCCAAGCAACCATGGATGACGGATCATATCCTAAAACTCATGACCGAAAGGAAAAAGAAGAAAAACACAGCGGAATATCACTCAATTAACAAACAGATTCAGAAAGAGTGCCGAAAGAGAAAGGAGGCATGGCTACAAAGGAAATGCAAGGAGATCGAAACCCTGGATAGAAAACATCAAACAAAAGAAATGTATGACAGGATCAAAGAGCTGACAAACACAAAACCAACAAACAAAGGAACTGGCTGCATAAGAAGTAAAGAGGGAAGCATCATCTTTGACCAACAAGAAATATCAAGCAGATGGGTTGAATATGTGACTGAGCTGTTCGGTGATGAGAGAGAACCAAAACCCACCATCAATAATAAGGATGGCTCACCGATCCTCCTACAGGAGGTCAAATATGCCATAAATCAACTCAGATGTGGAAAAGCTCCTGGACCTGACAGCATCACTGCTGAGATGCTAAAAGCACTTGAGAAAGAAAGTCTAGAAACACTTACAGAACTGTGTAATAACATCTACAATACGGGCCATATCCCAGAAGACTTTAGACAATCAATTTTTGTGACGATCCCGAAGAAAATGAAAGCCATGGATTGCACAGACTTCAGAACCATCAGTCTGATGAGTCACGTGGTCAAAATGTTACTCCGGATCATCTTGGAGCGTATTAGAAACAAGATCAACAGAGAAGTTGGGAAGGAGCAATGTGGATTTAGACCTTCTAGCGGAACAAGGGAAGCAATCATCAATATGAGATCAATAAGCGAAAGACACATAGAACTAGACACTGAGGTTCATGTATGCTTCATTGACTATGCAAAAGCATTTGACAAAGTTCAACACAAAGCAATGATCGACTGCTTGCAAGCAATCGGTTTAGACGGCAAAGACGTCCGACTGATTGAAAACCTGTACTGGGATCAAGTAGCAGCAATACAGATTGGCAACACACTCTCCCCCACTGTTGAAATCAAGAACGGCGTGAGACAAGGATGTGTACTCTCACCCAGCTTTAATATTCAATATCTACACAGAAGTGATCTTCAGAGAAATTGAAGATTACAGAGGGGTTAATGTGGGAGGATTCAATGTGAATAACCTACGATATGCAGATGACACAGTCCTCATGGCAAAAACAGAAAGGGATCTACAAAACATTGTGGACAAAATCAAAGAAGAAAGCGAAAAACTCGGACTTAAAATGAACGTCAAGAAGACAAAAACAATGGTCATCAGTAAGAGGAAGTCTAAAACCAGCATCCAGGTTGACGGGAAAGAACTGGAACAGGTCGACTCCTTCATCTACTTAGGACAAATGATAACGGAAGATGGGCGATGCCAAGATGAAATCAAACGAAGGATAGCTATTGGCAAATCTGTGTTTAATAAAAGGAAACACATCTTCACATCAAGAAACATCACGGCTAAGACTAATCAAATGCTACATCTGGTCAACAGTACTATATGGAGCAGAAACATGGACATTGACGAAAGATTCAATCAACCGACTCGAAGCATTCGAAATGTGGACATACAGAAGAATGCTGAGCATCCCCTGGATAGTTAAAATGACCAACAAACAAGTCCTTCAAATAGCACTGACAAAGAAATCCCTCATAAAAACAGTAAAATACAGGAAGACAAACTACTTTGGACACATGATGAGAAACCAAATGCTGCAGAAGACTCTTTTGGAAGGCAAAATAGAGGGGAAAAGACCAAGAGGAAGAAGAAGAACATCGTGGTTTGATAATGTGAGAGACTGGACTGGCCTTAGCTACATGGAATGTGCAAGGGCATTTCAGGACAGAGACAGATGGAAATCCATTGCAGCCAACCTTCTGCGAGAAGACGGCACCTGATTGATTGAAAGTTAACAATTTCAAAATTCAAGTAACTTCATTATTATCGATTCAGGATGTTAAAAAAACTGATAACTTCACAAGGAAAGAAAAGAGAAGAGGACCACTTTTTTGTAGCGAACGTATACATAAAAAAGCACCAGGCAACGCGAGGGATTTGACCGGGGCCCGCCACGCTGCTAACCGTACAAGATTAGTTCTGGACACAGTCAACCTCGTCCCCAGTGCTTACTTTATTTCCAAACGTGTTTCCAATAGTAAACCCTGGATAGGAAACTTTCTTCCTGTATCCTGATTGGATACCGCAATTGGCTAGAAATGGATTTTTATCGTGTACTTGGTGCTATTATTCACAACGTGCAGTACGTGTTTTCGCGATCATTCGTCCACGCCTTCTCGAAAATACTAATTTCCTTTCCAATTTGCTCATATTAATATGAAATATGATACTGCATGTTGTCTCGATAAGATCGTAACAGTTTGATTTCAAAAATCGTGTTTTCGTAACTCACGCCGTGCTCGCGCTGCTACGAATTGACTCTGTTTTACCCCAGACACCGCATACAAAAACAAACGCTAATGTGTAACGCATATCCAGGCACCAGACTGTTCCTCATTTGCATACGTGTGCAAAAATCTTGCACATGCAAATGATCCAATACCAGGGTAAGAGAGAAGGTAGTGGTGGGCGCGTACTGCTCGACACCCTGGGGACGAGGTTGGGACACAGTATACTGGTGTGACGCGTTATGCGTGCCGTACGCGTATAATTCGAAAACAACCTGACAATATGTCGTCTCTTTGGACTGAATATTGGGTTTTGTCTGTAAATCACGAAGAAACTTGCGGTAGGACTTTTGATGCTCATCTGAAAAATTGTATAACGAACAAAATACTTTGAGTCCTTGGATAAAACACAGCTTGTCCAATATACTCATCAAAAAAGTAAGCGATGGTAAGGAATATTAATCTCTGAGAGTCTTTGAAAAAATGTTTCTCACTGCTTGACTGCTGAGTCACATGTGATGGGGATGGCGTTGGGCAGCAGTACAGCCGTTGTATATATACGAGTCCTGTTCACTACGTCACGATTTTTCTGATTTTACGAAGAGCCGGACGACAGTTGATTTCAATTATGCGCCCACGACCAACAAATTACTCCATGAAATTCAGTTTAATTAACATATCAACGCACATTAATGGTAGTTTGTCATTATGATATATACATGGGTTTACGCTACAATAAAAAAAATATATAAAAAACAAAACGACTTTCAGCATTGCACGACCTCTTTAAACACTACTAATATAGGTTTCCCCGGCGAATTTCTGAATTTTTCTAATCAGTTTCATTACCAGCCATGTGGTCCAATTGGGGTTTCTTTTTCATTTGGGGTTCATTCAATTTTTTTATTTTTAGGCAGCCAAGATTTTGCTGTGAAAGTTCGTTTTTGTTTCGGGCAACCTATTTCGTTTTGGTGCAATCAAGACTTAACTTGTAGCAGTCTTAAATTAAGTCTTTGCAACCTTTTGACGGTTGACGCATTCAAATTAGCGAACATCTGTGCGCTTATGACGTTTAACCATGCTTTTCGTTTCTTATTCGTTTATGGGCAATCGCTTTCATTGGTCATCTAAATTAGTAAGATATTTTTAATCGTTGATATGTTTTCCTGTTTTTCTCCGAGGATCATTACCCCCAAAAAAATTTCGATGACTGTAAAATTTGCAATGTTACAAATCAACTGATATGAGGGAAACAAGATGCAACGAAATAATGAACTGAAAACGGCTAAGATTTTTCACTGTTGACCATTTCTACTTGTTTAAAGGTTTGATCAAGAGGCTTTTTTACGTTGACGATTTTTTGACGTGCAAGACATCGGGACACGTATGTTTGGCAATGGTTGTACCGTCGGGATCGGGAACACTTCTCTTGCGTTATTTCTTAAATGTTTTCTTGCGTATGTCTGACCGAACACTTATCGTATTCACAGGGCCCATGCAAAGTTTTCAATGCAAACCTTGAAAATACATCTTTGTGTCACATTTAACCTTAATTGCAAGTTTTATTTTCCATTTTGAGGGGTGTTTTTGGTGCCTTCTCCGTTTTTATGCTAATGCAAAGTTTCGTATTCATCAGAAAACCTGTGATGGCATTCTGAGCATGATTAATGTTACACGGTTATTTTAGCAAAAAAAAATTGGATATTTTGCTGTCATAAATTTCTTTTATTTGGTGATTATATGATTTGTCAGAACATGGCAGTAAGCCAATTAACGACCAACCCTTTTTCACAAATGTTTTTAATTAGCAAATTTTTGATGAATAATTTGAAAGAAAAAACCCTAAACTGAACAGTGTCTTCCTGAAATGACATCACAATAACAGCGTTGGTCCGGCAAAACATGGAAACTTTTAAATATTTAAAGAAGTGCACATTTGCAATAAGATAGGTTTACGATAAAAAAAAACCCAGGATATTCTTATTAACGGTTTTCCTGGCCAATTTCACCAAGTTTTTATTCAATTTAACGCCTGCCTCATTCGATTTAGATTGAAATTGAAAGATCATGCAGATCGGCATTCGACAATCAAACAGAATCATTCAATTTCACTATCCGGGCATTCTATCGCCTTTTAGCTTCACTCGTCCCTATCAAAGATGCATTTATATTAAAAGTATTGCGTTGGTCATTCAATTTCGTCAAAACCATTAGTAAGGGGTTGATCGGGCATTCGTTTTCATTAATAGGCAAACATGTTTCACATTTTGTCAAACATCTTTTACGACTTCATACGTGTCCGTATTCCTTACCGTAAATCATATTTGATGATTTCAAACCGTAGATTGACTTTCTTTCTTAAAGGGTATGTGCAATGAATTTTTCTCAGGAATTCTTTTTGCGCAACTCTGTGAAATGTAAGAAAACTACACATTTGACAACACTTTTTGGGTTAATCTTATTGCAAATGTGCACTTCTTTATAAGCATTTAAAAGTTTCCATGTTTTTCCGGACTAACGCTGTTACCTCAAAATGGAAAATAAAACTTGCAAATAAGGTTAAATGTGACACAAGGATGTATTGCATTGAATATAGAAGTGTTCCCGACGGTACAACCATTTCCAAACATATTACGTGTTCTGATGTCTTGCACGTCTAGAAATCGTCAACGAAAAAAAAAAAACCTTGATCAAACGTTTCAACAGGTAGAAAAGATCAACAGTGAAAAAGAAATTATCTTAGTCCCTTTCAATTCACTATTTCATGCATCTTGTTTCCTTCATATCAGTTGATTTGTAACATTGTAAATTTTACAGTCATAAAAATTGTTTTTTGGGGGAACCGGAAATGAACCTCGGAGAAAAATAGGAAAAAATATCGATTAAAAAATCTTACTAATTTAAATGACCCAACGATGAAAGCGATTGCCCATAAACGAATAAGAAACGAAAAGCATGATTATACGTTATAAGCGCACAGATGTTTGCTAATTTGAATGTGTCAACCGTCAAAAGGTTGCAAAGACTTAATTCAAGACTGCTACAGGTTAAGTCTTGAATGCCCAAAAACGAAACAGGCTGCCCAAAAACGAAAACGAACATTCACAGCAAAATCTTGGCTGCCTAAAAATGAAATTGAATGAACCCCAAATGAAAAAGAAACCCAAATTGGACCACATGTGCAAAACTCGCGCGAAATTGAATGGCTGATAATGAAACTGATTAGAAAAATTCGGAAATTCGCTGGGAAAACCTAGATTAACCCAAAAAGTGTTGTCAAATGTTTAGTTTTCTTTACATTTCACAGAGTTGCGCAAAAAGAATTTCTGAGAAAAATTCATTGCACATACCCTTTAATTAAGAAAGGAAGTCAATCTACGGTTTGAAGTCATCATGATTGACGCTAAGGAATACGGACGAGTATGAAGTCTTAAAAGATGTTTGACAAAATGTGAAATATGTTTGCCCATTAATGAAAACGAATGCCTGATCAACCCCTTACTAATGGTTTAGATGAAATTGAATGAACAACGCGATACTTTTAGTATGAATGCATGTTTAATAGGGACGAGTGAAGCTAAAAGGCGATAGACTACTCGGATAGTGAAATTGAATTATTTCTTTTGATTGTCGAATGCCGATCTGCGTTTTCTTTCAATTTCAATCTAAATCGAATGAGCCAGCCGTTAAAATGAATGAAATTTTGGTGAAATTGGCCGGGAAAACCTATATTAAGAATATCCTGGGTTTTTTTTATCGTACACAGTGCCCAGGTATTTCTGGGGCTTGGGGACGGTATAACAATCACAAGGGCTTTAGAAAATGATACCTTCAAAAACCAAAATTAGCTGCTGCACATCCTCTCGTTTTTACAGACGTCACAGTGTACTCCTTCTTCACTTATGCTGTGCTGTGCTAGCTGCATCACCTCACCGCGTGCACGTTTTTACAATGTCTTGAGTACGTTTTACCTAATTGCAGTAGGTTTTTTTTTACATAAGTAAGGTAACTGGCTGCTCTTTCTGACGAATTTTACCGAAATTGTGTATTATTTTACATAACAATTTTTACCTAATTATTATCACATATCTTTTTGAGAGTGCATGCTTTTCCGGACTACTGAACGTGCTGTTACAGCGATGTAACTTCAGGAAGTCAGCTGTTTAGATTAGGGTTTTTTCTTTCAAAATAATGATTCATCCAAAAGTTGCTAATTGCAAACGTAATTTTGTGAGAAAGGGTTGTTCATTGGTTACTGCCATGTATTGTGACATCAAAGAATCACAAGATATAAGAAAATTAGGACAGCAAAATATCCAAAATTCTAGCAACTTTTTTGTGCTGAAACAAACATTAATCATGCCCGGAATGACATCACAGTTTTTCTAATGATTATGAAAACTTTGCATTAGCATTAAAACGGAGAAGGCACCTAAGACACCCTTCAAAATGGAAACAAAGAACATGCAAATCAGATTAAATGTGACACAAAGATGTATTTTCAAGGTTTGCACTGAACATGTTCAATGCAAACCTTGAAAATACATCCTTTTACTTTGTGTGGGCCCTTTGAATCAGTGTTCGGTCAGACATACGCAAGAAAACATTTCAGAAATAGCGAAAGAGAAGTGTTTCCGATGGTACAACCATTGCCAAACATACATGCCCCGATGTTTTGCATGTCAAGAAATTGTCAACGTAAAGATGCCCCTTGCTAAAACGTTTAAACAAGTAGAAAAGATCAACAGCAAAAAGAAAAGAAATTATGTTAGCCCCTTTCGATTCATTATTCGGTTGCATCCTATATCCCTCATATCAGTTAATTTGTAACATTGTAAATTTTACATTCACCAAGAATTTTTGGGGAAATGAACCTCGGAAAATAAAAGGAAAATATCATCGATTAAGAAACGAAAAGCATGGTAATACGTTATAAGCGCACAGACGTTCGCTAATTTGAATGCGTCAACCGTCAAAAGGTTGCAAAGACTTAATTTGAGACTGCAATATATTAAGGGAATAAATGTGTGTTTGGGAGGTATTATAACGCTCTGTTTAAGGCCGGTTTGAGTCTGGATGGGCGATAATTACCCGAGGCGAAGTCGAGGGTAATTATCGCCCATCCAGACTCAAACCGGTCTTAAACAGAGTGTTTAAAACCAACCGAACACACATTTATTCCCATTCATAAATATCTTTTCGGTCCAAAAATAATTTTAAAAAATGTCAAAAACTAGACGTTGCCAACCATTTTGTTCAACAATTTTACATCATGTTTTACGAAATACCCCATGGAATGCCCCACCACAACTCGTTACCTTATAGGGACAATGGCGTGCGCGTCGCGTGTACTGCGCGATGTCGCGCAAACGGCAGCTGGGCTGGTGAAGTGTGAATTTCGGACCATGAAATATTTCTATACCTCATATATATTCATGACCGAAAGCCGAATTCTCACTGGTCCATTCACCATCACGTGCCAGATGTTATTTTTGCTGTTTACCAAACGCACGCGCGAGTATTCACGCACATGCTAAGTACGCATGCGTAGTAGACTGTCGCACGGTGTCACGGTCTCACTTCTCCGGCGTGCCAGCTTCTCCGGGTGGATTTGGCGGATAATTGAGCACGTTACGGTGCACGTTACATGGGCACTATTCATGCTCATGTGTCCGCTGTGCTAACTTTTCCTCGGGCTGTGCTGTTGTTGATGTAAAGTCTTCCGGTCCATACAGACAGTGAGGGACTTCCAAGAATGCGTTATGTAACACTTCCTGTGGGTCAAGACATTGCGTGTGCGTTGAGGAACTGAATTGAGAAGCGTGTTCCTTGCTCGGTCGTGGTCCATCACTTGCATGTCCAATTTGCAACCACGTTCAACCACCGTTTCAAATAAATGTGCATCCTTCAAGTCATTTTGGTTATTAGGATGTTGGGAGTTAATTGCGCGCCCCACCATGCCTAGGTCTGGATTCGATGGTACCCTGTGACGTATACATACAAACATCCTAACTTCTTACGTGCACCAGTACAACCCCAAATAACTCAGCACACATAAAGTTGGCAAAAGTGAACACTACTGCGCAATTTTGTGCATGCGTGTTGAAGCGAAATTTCTAACTTGGAGTAGCTAGCACCCCGGAGAAGTGAGACCGTGACAACGGGTTGCGAATATTTTATTTACACAACTATCTGGGGGTATCCATTTTTCAGGCGACTTGAATCACGGTTATCTACAATCCTGCAACCTTTTGTATACGCGCGCGCGTATACTCCCTCCACATGTGTGAAAGTATATAATTTATGAATTGCACAGACATTTCGAGTACCGCCGTTGCCTAGTGGTTGGGCATGCTGGCTAATGATCGGAGGTCTCGAGTTCGATTCCTCGCTCTACCTACAAAGATTTTGCTCTTTTTTTTTCAACAATTTTAAGTTGAATCTTAAAAACGTTATTTTTCAGTCGGATACTACTTGTATAGCAGCAATTTCCTTTTTCTTTTCCTGATCTGAGGCTCTGGAGGAAATAAAGTCCGAAATCCGTACCAAGTTGAAAAATAGTAGCCTCCACTCAAGCCTGGTTATATTAGCCAGGCCCCATAGGAAAGCGCACAAAGTACCCCAGATAGTTGTGTAAAAAAAATATCGCCAACGGGTTACCCGTGCGACAGTCTACTACGCATGCGCTTTACGAAGCAATCGTTGAACTGTCGCACGGGTGAAGCACGCACGCGCGAACATCGCGCTACAGCTACACATAAAAGACGGTTGCACACGTAAATGATAATAAGCGTTTTCCCTAGCTGAATGATGCCAAATTGGAGAATATTGTGGACAATATAAACATGCATGTGCTAAAAAAAGTTTTCCACAAACAATTGTATTTACAACCGTAGTAACTGCATGTATTGCAAACGAACTGTCATTTTCGGAGTTTGAGCAATATTATTTTTCTGGTGAGCTGGACAAGTTTCTCCGAATATTTTTTTGCGGATGCATACTGCAGGAAAAATTGACAACTGAATATACATGTATATGAGGCATAGTAAAACAAATATAACATGGTTTATTTCGGGTGAAAAGTCGATATTAGCTAACCTCGGTATTAGAAGTTGACAAACTAGTTCCCTCGGCGGTCAACTTCCAATACCTTGGGGAGCGAATATCGACTGTCCAACCTCAAACCATGTTATATTTGTATACTGATTCACTGGTAGTACATTGCGCATGCATACGAGAGGAATTTGAACGTTCAACCAATGAAACGTTAAAAGGCACCGGATTTCATAGGAGTCCAAATTTCATGTGACGCTGGAAAAGCGTTTAAGACCAGCTAGCCATGTCTTTATCATCCGTTTAAGACCGGCCACGCGACGGGCTCTCGACCAATAGGAATGCGTAAACTGTCTGAGGTATTTATGCATAAGATTTAAATGCAGCAAAACGAAATAAGATGCCTGACAACAAAAACGCACATTCAGAGCAAAATCTTGGCTGCGTAAAAAGAAATTGATTGCCCCCAAATGAAAAAGAAACCCCAATTTGATCACATGTGCAAAACTCACGCGAAATTGAATGGCTGATAATGAAACTGATTAAAAAAATTCGGAAATTGGCCTAGGAAAACCTATAAAAAAAGTACAAACAAAACGAAAGTATAGAAAAGATCAACTTCGAAAAAGGTATTCGCCAAAACGTTCGCTGTTGGATACTTTTCCGATTTCGGCTGGAAAACGAATTTCGTTTAATATTGATGATGCTGTGGACACGGGTGGGTATCAACGAAAATTACCCGCAATTGTCGTATTTCTGTCCTGATTTTATCCTCCACAGTCACTGTTTTTTCTGTTTTATGTTGTTCCTATTTTAGGTGTTCCTATTTTATTACTGTTCTCCAATCCTTTTCACTTGGGTCCGCTTGAAAGCCTGCAATCTCCAAGGAGACGACGAAAGACAATTTTTCATTCAATGTTATATATTCTATGAATTTTTTATATAAGCTGCTGGGAAAATATCATTTTGTTCATTGTGAGGGTTTCTTTAGCTCGTGGATTATTTCTTTGCCTCAAAGTAGCCCTGAAAATTGCCTTGTGTGACTTGTGCGTAACATCTTATACTACCGGTACAACAAATTTCCAACAGTTGTTCGCATTGATTATGACCTCTAATTAATCTTTAAAACAGTTTGTTCTGTACAGATGACTTGTGTTCTGTTTTGAAAATGAAATTATACTAAAATACATTTCAAACGCATGCAGCTCAAGTTCGAACAAGATTCAGAAAATCAGGAGGTTCTATAAATACAAAAAGGTCCAGTTTATTTTTGATTTGTATTGTATGTTTTTTCCCCTTTGCGACAGATATTTCTGGTAAGGTGAGGATCTGGGATATCACCCAGGGTACTATGAAGTACGAACTCCAACCAGTCCCTTACAAAATCAACGATATTGCCTGGCTCAACAGCGAACAGATTGTCGTGTGTGGTGAGGGAGGTGATTCGTAAGTGTAGAATCTCGAGACACATTGTTTTTTTAAACAAGACAGTCCTTTATCATTCACTATAAATGTACATGCATAATTGCACACGATCCAATCTGCAGAATATAGCAAATAACAATTACGTAAAGCTAAAGGTGTGTTTACAGGTCACATCCGTTCAAAGTGAAACTTCTCCATTACGGTTTAAAGAACTTGTGTTGACAGAAGCCCGACATACCTGAATTCCATATGAAATCGGGGCAGGAAAAATTGGACCCAAAACTTATAGAATGGCCCACTTGAGGAAAACCATTAGTTGTACAGACTTTGCATGCGCCACACGAGCGCGCATGCGCACTGTATCCCCAACTAGAGCTCTCAGGGCGCAGAGTTACGACATTGGGGGTTGCAATGTTGGAAACAAAATGGCGGATTATGCATTATAGTGCACTTATTATTGGTACACAATAGTCGCGAGCTGCACTGTAAACATAATGAACGACCATTATGGTTTTACAGTCTTAACTTGTCACAACTCCCTCTGTACGGCTCTGCTGATGAGTAGTGAAGAGCACCATCTATTGTTCATGCACGGAGTCCATAGAAAGTGCAAGACCTAAGTCCCAGTCACACATTTACGGTTTGGAGCTACGGATCTCTACCGTTTGAAATTCGTGGTAAACCTTGGGAGTACCGTATTAATCCTAAGTACATCCGTGGTTATCCGTCATCTTTCTTGGGCATTCGTGGAGGGCTTCGGAAGTTTCAAATTGTTCAAAACTTCCTCCCTTCTAGACTGTTTCTCGCCCCCCCCCCCAAGATAATGGGGACCGGTGACTAGTTCCAATTAAAGCCTTTGATTAAATCGCCTCTGCGCGAGCGCATCACCATTGTTGAACTCACGATTATCAAGAAACACACGCTTGTCTTACAACAAAAAGTACACAAAATCACCAGTGCAATCAACTGCATAGGTTTTTGTATGACCTGCTCACATTAAGGAGCACCCGATGAAAAACAAGCAGAATATCCCATGGGGATAGCTAAGTGCTTGTTTCAACAGAACATCCCACATTAAAAACAAGAAATAAGAAGATAAACATTAGTTATTGGACTATGCCTCACTAACTAGAAAGTGAAGAGAGAGACATGTCTATTAGCATCACACTGCAGTCACATTTGCCCTGAACTGATTCTTTAATTAATGTACATTGAAGGACTGCAAGCCCTGGTAATGTATGTCTGAAAGAACTGATGACGATAGAATGTTCCAGATCGTAACTGCCGCAGGAAGAAGTTCTTCGCAGAGTTCTTGCTGCAGTCATACCCTGGGGGACCGGGAACTGAAGAGCATATTTGTTGAGTAGCATGGATTGCCTGGTTTGTCGAGCAGCAGGTGGCCTTACAGGTGGAACCATGAATTTCAGCAAGGTTGGGAACTTGCTGCACTGCATCCTATATAATAATAATTTGGGAGGCTAATCATCCTTACTCGCAGCTTGTATGCTGAATTGCGAAGGATGCGGCTACAACGTGGTCGGGACGCTGGCACGTAAAGGCGCCTATGGCTGCCGGCCATATCGACCCATATAATGACCACGGAGCACAGCCTGTGACCGAAAGTGTTTGATTTTTCCGGAGGGAGGAAAACCGGAGGGCCCGGAGAAAAATTATTGTGGCACAGGAGAGAACCAACGCACAACTCTACCCACATGCGATCCGCGGCCAGGATTCGAACCGTGGTCACCTTGGTGAGAGGCGAGCGCTTTACGCACAAGCCACCAATGCCACCCCTATATAAACAGGAGACTGCTGCAACATTTCTTCGATGGGATAAACTGCTAAGATTATGCCTCAGTTGCTCTTGCTGGCTTAATTCTATTAGGCGGCATGCTCTCCTTTGGATTTTATCAAGAGCCGAGAGTTGGACTGTGCTAGCTCCCATCCAGGCTAGGGGTGCCTACTCCATCTTGCTTCTGACATAAGTCTTGCAGATGGTAACAAGACCTGCCTTGCTGAAGACTGGACCCAGTCTCCGCAACATTGAAGTACGCTGACCAGCAGTGCGAGTGACATTCTTTAGATGTGTCCTCCATTCTAGCAGGTGAGAGAAAATAAGCCAAGGAAGTTTCATCTCCATCTTATCACTGACAATTTGGCCTTGGAACATTATAGGCTGATGATTTTGGATGTCCTTCATGTTGGACACAGTGAGACACTGACTCTTGGATGGCTAAAATTCAATTCTCCAAGTCTGTCCTCAATTGCTAATTCGTTCCAAATCCTCCTGAAGTTGTTCAGCTGCTGCTAGCCTCATGCTCGATCTTACTTCAGGAGGTGAGTTTTTGATTAATGTGAATATTGTGATGTCATCAGCATAGGCAAGAAGTTCTGAATGACAGATCACATCACGTAGATCTTCGATGTATATCAGGAACAGAGTGGGACCAAGAATACTGCCTTGGGGAACACCAGCATCGATCTCATAGCAGGTTGACTTTTGTCCAGCAACCACTACCTCAAGATGTCTGTTTAGTGTTAGATAAATAACTCTTCCTCCAGGTAAGCAGTTGGCCAGTGATTCCAAATGAATCTAGTTTTCGAAACAGACCTTGATGCCATACTCTGTCAAAGGCGCCTTTGATGTACAGGGCGACCACTCGAACTTCACCTCTCTCATTAAAGATGGTGCACCACCGATGAGACATATAGGTGAGGAGATCAGAGACAGAGTGGAGATTTCTGAATGCAAATTGGTTGTCTGATATGAGGTTGTTTTGAAAAAGATGTTTCTGTAGTTGATCATTTATGCTCTCCATTACCTTGCTGATGGTAGATAGTAGAGAGATCAGCCGGTAGTTTGACGGGCAAGATCGACTATTTTCTTGTGCACAGGAACAACTGATGTAACTTTTCTTGGGCAGGGGAAATAGCCTCTGCTGAAGCTGAATCGGAAAAGTTTGGCGAGTGAAGCTGCAAGTTCTAAAGCGCAGTTCCTCAAAACCTTGGCAGAGATACCGTCAGGCCATGCTTTGTTCTTATCCAGCTTTTGCAACTTTCTTTTTATGTCTCGTGGCCTGAAAGTGACATGGCTGAGGTGTTCAGTAGTGCGGTCCTGGATAACAGGTGGTGGATCAACTGCAGAAGTGAGATTACATTTGTTTGAAAAGGTTTGAGCCAATATCTCTACTTTATCTTGAGCAGTTGAGAAGGCGATGTCATTTTATTGCACAGGGGGAATTTCTGTATGACCTCCAGTTCCAGAGAGTTGCCGATCTGTCCACCACCAATCTCTGTCTTTTCCATTTTCTACCAGTTTATCCCTCATCAACTTAACTGAGTAGCCTTGGCACGCCTAATGGTTTGTTGCGCAAGACTCCTGTGCTTGATAAAAACAGCATGCTTTGTGACATTGGTGGGATCTTGTCTCTATAGCTTGAATGACTTCTCCTTCTGAGTGATAACTTTTCGGCATTTTCTGTGAACCAAGCTGAATCTTTGGATTGACGTGTAGTATAGTATGAGGGATTTGTCTTACTATTGCTTGGCGAATGATCTCAGTGACATTTGAGCAAGCCTTCTCTGGATCTTCTGTATCGAGAGCAGAGTTCCATTCAGCAGTCTTTAGGTCATGTCGAAGTCTCCCCCAACCAGCTTTGTGATATTGCCAGACTGTTCATGGAGATGGATGTTCTTGGTAAATGAAGCCAGGAAATGATGAAAGTACAGTATTGTGATCGGATGTGGTGATGGGTGCAATATTAAACAGAGCAAGAGCACTGGCCTTCCTCTGCATCAGTCAGGACAAGATCAAGGATAATTTAATTGTCCCCACGGGTTGGTTCTTGAATAAGTTGAACAAGACCGTGCACGTTGGCAAACTGCTCAGTTGTTCTTCCAACCTTGTCCGTTGGAGATTTTGAGGACAGCCATTCTTGGTGATGGACATTAAAGTCCCCCAGATTTACAGATGTGGATATTTTGTATTGTTGTTGAATACGATCAAGGTTGACGTCATGATACTGGATCATGTTATTATCAGAGCCAGGTAATGAGCCAGGACGGTAAACAACACACAATAAATATTCTGAGCGAAAGGAAGCATGAATTCTGAGTAAAGTTGACTCACAGATGACACACTTGTAACAAATGCGTTATTAATTGCTATACTCATTAAAACGCGTAAAGTTACTCGCGTCTAATGATGCACCAAATAGGTATTATGTTGGAATACCCATAGTGACGAGTAAAACGATTTGACTTCAGAATACTCACTGGAAATTTACTCATCCAGTGAATCAAAATATTTGGGACGCACTTGGTGAGTAATTTTAAAAATAACACACAGGTGAGTTATTAGCATAAAAACTCACTCGAAGAGTAAATTAAAAAACTTAAAGAAAACGTGTAAGCCTGACACCAGAATGACACACAAATGAGTCAAGGTCATTTTACGTCAGCCAAGCTTGACACACTTCTAGTGTGTCCATTTATTCTGCCTTTCAAATGCATAACAGACTTAAGGATGTATCCTTGCCAACTGCAAGAAGGTAAGAGTGTGTCTGATACATTTGGATATGACATGTCATAAATGAAGTATAGCTAGTCAACAAAGACAACAGTGCATCAATTGTCCCCGTTACTTTGAACAGGTCCTTTTGTTCTGCATGAAACATGTAGTACTCCTCATTTGACAGAAGATCCTGCTCTTTCCCTGAGTACATAAGATTTGGCTGCACAGTAGGCGCATCCTATAAATGAAATGGAAAGGAAAAACAGAGTTCTGTCAACATAAATCAAACGACTCTATTTGTAACCGTCACAATCATTAACACAATTCAAATTCCAGGTGCATTGCAAAACAGAACATTTTGCTGTCAATGAGAAAAGGAAGCTAGGGACTATTTTTTTTTAAAGTACAGTTTTATGGGGTGCATTTTCAGTTTTGGAAACTGTCATGAATTTATTCATCAGTTTTATTGATCGCGCATACATCAGCTCTTAGGGCCTATTTGGGGGTAAGCAAAAAAAAACACACCCTACCTTCTGGTCAGTAATAGGCCTACATAGACTTCTGGATTCTTCTACGAAGAATGAAAGCAACATCAATGTTGCACCATGAAGCAGTCTTGAAATCTGTAGGGAAAACAATTATAATTGGTTCCTTGGTATAATTCATGATAAACATTTTCAAGTTTGGGGAATCACATTGATTACCATGTGTGAAATTGTTGGACCACTCCCCACAACACATTGAAGTATTACGAACACCCATAGAGTAGATTGAAAATCACCAGCTGCTTCGAACATAATAATAGTGCACTTTGGATTGAACTCTAAAGCACAAGTTACATAAGTAGCCCACTCAATCAGTAAAGGTCATTACAACGACCAACGTCATACTTCATCATGAGATCAAAACAAATCTACGTACGGTAACGTTTTCAATTGAGCAGCAGCAAAACATGGGCGCAAAATTACGACACAAGTTTAAATTGTAGCTAGTGCTACAACGGAGAGAGATAAACAAATAAACCCTTACCTCCAAATGATGGCATCATGGCAGGCGCAGGCTATAGGCAGTGCTTGCTGTCCAGCCGATGGCAGTTGGCTGCTGTCTGAAAGTGTAGTGTAGATGCATCACAAGACTGGTGCATGCGACGCGACGTGCATGGGCAGAACGACAACGTGACCATACAACGAAGCGCCTTAGTCTCCTTTCAAGGAAACTTCATGCATATTGAGACATTATACCTTGCACTTGCACACAGCACCCGAGTCTGTACGGTGTGGGTTTGAACGTTTTTACGTCCTCATGTGAGAGTAGTGAGACTATCATAACCGTTAAATTTAGGCGGGAATAGTCGACGCACTTGCATCGTCAGCCCACGCTAAACCTAGGCGTGAGTCATTTGACAACGCAAGAGTGCATAAGTCTGACACACACATTTCAGTCAACCAACGTTGAGTTAACCCACGCTAAACCTAGGCGTGAGTCATTTGACAACTCCAGTGCATAAGTCTGACACACACATTTCAGTCAACCAACGTTGAGTTAACCCACGCTAAACCTAGGCGTGAGTCATTTGACAACTCCAGTGCATAAGTCTGACACACTTGCTAGATAAAGAAAATGTACACAATGGGCATGCGTTATCTTACATGGCAAATGCGTCGGATTTACTATCATAATGCATTCAGGTTCCAGACCAGTAAATAAAATTTCCATAGACCCCAATGGTAAATGCCCCCACTTCAGAAATTCGGGAAAAATACTCACAACTCTCCAAGGTGTTCGAGACACACATCAAATTAAAGTTTATTTCATCATCTTTCATCTTCTTTTCAAGTTTTGGGTGGTCAACTGATGACTTTTAGGAGAAATATCCATCCGAAGATGATCACCCCTGAAAATAGTCCTGAAGCCAATCGCCATTTTCAAAAACGGTGCCTACACTCGATTGCCAAAATAGAGCGCTTTTAGGGTCCAAATAACATCCAAATTACACGGAATTGCAAGCTCCCAGTCATGTGCACGACTTCCACCCATATTTTTTACAAACCCTCAAGTTCATGGCCCAGAATACTCTCAAATACTGAAGATTTTGAGGGCATGCAAATCGTGATTTGGCCGGCGCAGGCAATTTGGGGCCTATTTACTGGTCGAACCTTTAAGTACTCAGACAGAACAGTAAATCATTATCATACTCTTCTTGCGTTCTAAGAGGAATTACGCGCGATGAGTGGAGTTACACACACTACCAGGTTAGTGGATATTTTACTATGCAAATGTAGGTTTTTTGACGCACTTGGCGAATAACACTGACGCACTTGACAAATAACACTGACGCACTCGCTGCTTGAACGATACTTCTTTATCACCAATAAATCAAAATACACACAAGGGCAAGTCAGATGATCAACATATGATGCGTATAACAAGATAGACACACCTCTTTCTGTGTTTTATGCTAAAATACACACTTCAAGCCTGCCACCGGTTTTTGTTTGAATGCCCATCAGTAATCAGTAATTAATTAGTAGTGAGCCACATAACACTTAGGCGAGATACATCAAGACCCATCCTGGGCCAGACGACAATGCCTCCACCACAGATGTTTCTATCTCTCCTGATAGGTGTCTAGAAACCAGTGATACTGATATCACTGTTGGAGATGGAGTCATCTATCCAACTCCACAACCACAAGGAATGATGGTTTATGAACTTCAGCTAAGTGGCGAAGATGATCAATGTTGCTAACATCATTTACTCTGTCAGCAACTATCAGTTTACGGATGTTTGAAAGCAGGAAGGTGATGCCAATTTTTTTCTTTTCTTGGCCTTTCTCTTACTATCATAGTTGTTGTTAGGTCTTAGAACAACGCATATTTTCTCATTTGGTGTCTGCATATATTGTGGAAAGGAAAGTTGGGAGGTTTGCGAAATGGGAATCCCCACCGGACCAGGAACTCAGCCTTCCACAGTTTCAAGGATCCCATGCACATGCCAGGATGGACTGTCTACATTGCGCCTCGAGGAACCGTTCTGTCAAGGATGTAGTCCGGCAACCTAGTGTAACGTTAGCCGTTGGGACAAATACAATCCTCTTCCGTCTATTTTACTGTTGTGAGTAACAAGACTCATCATCCGCTGCCAGGTGCGAGACCACCTGCACCCTTAACCCTGGGTATAGGGCCCTTTCCGGTACTAACAGCCGGGCTAGCTGCACCCGAGGCCCCCATAGGGGCAGGTACAACCACACACTGAGGGCACAATGCTATAATAGACACTGACACCCCTACTACCCCTGTTGTAGGTTGTAGATATTGGGCAGCAATATTTTGTTCTCTTTATTGATATTCGCCAGAGATACTTTCAAATTCAGCAACAATCGAAGCTCATTACACAATGTACCACAAAAATGGCATATTCGCGGCCTTGCCATTTTGCAACAGGCTGGTTGCCCAGGAATTACATTACCAGCAATTCTGGGCAATGAATGTAGGCCAAATTCACCGCTAGTAACCTGACCCCATTTTTGAAGTCAAGAGGACAATGGTGTCAGGGAAACAGAATAAAAACTTCCTTGGTGAAACGTCATAAAAATCAATGCGTAGTGCAACTGTGGGACATCTGCATGACAACCGTGCTGAGTCGTAGTTATTCGCGGTTATTCGTACACATTCTTAGAGATTCGTAGTTCATTCTTGGTAGGAATCATTACGAATTCGCTACGAATGTCCTACGAATATGCACAGATGTGCTTGGGTTCTCATATTAAAGTGTTGGGTTCTCATATTAAAGGTTGTACTCTGAATATTCACGCTTTATTCGTAGCAGAACCTTGGTCATCCGTGGCCCAATCGCAAAAAAAACCGTAGCGTAAACGTCATGATTCTTTATAGCAAAACCGTCGATATTCTTCAACAATCCGTCTATGTTCTTGGCAAACCGTGGTGTATTCGTAGGACAACGTACCGTAGGATAGTCGAGGCTATCTATCCTGAAACCTGAGCGCATTCTTAGAAAGTTGATTTTTCCACGAATCTCAACGGTTCATCGTGATCGATTGATTATTGGTTAAACCGTGGATATTTGTAGCTCCAACCAAACCGTAAATGTGTGACTGGGGCTTAACCAGTGCAAAGCTGCACTAAATCAAAGTGTTTTTTCCCCGGCCTTACCCAGGACCTCTAAATTAGTTCGTTGGGACGGTGGTGCCGTCAGTACGCTGGACCACAGCGGTCAACACTGCAACGCCGTAGACTGCAGGAATCGCCGTCCCTTCCGCACTGTGGTTGCCTCGGATGATATATTACCGGCTTATTACAAAGGACGGTCCGTCAACTTTACAAAGCACCTCGACCTCCGTGTGAGTAATTCTCTGTTTGTTGTTTTGGGGGTTTTCTGGGGGGGGGGGTCTGTCACTGGATTTATTGAGTACAGCTGATGGTTTTGAGAAGAAGAGTTGTGGTACACATGACACCATTCTTAAACTACTGAGGTGGATGAAAATTGTAATTTTGGTACACGTTGACTGTGCCTTTTGATCAGTTGAACATGCTTTTTGCTTTTGGGTCACATTTCAAATAAAAATAATAATAACTAATTCTTGTACAGCGCCAAATCCGTCAACATTCGTTCACAGCGCTTCACAGAAATACAAATGCACCAGCTAAAATTTAAAAACAATCTAAAATTATACCAAGAAAAATTCAAAATAACTAGGTTTACATGAGTTAATTGTCAAAAACAGGCAGGTTAAAACGGACGGACACTGCACATCAATCAAAGCAAACAGCGTGACGACCACGATTAAGAGACGTACTGATGACCACGACAAAGATACTTAGAAAGACTTACACAATCAGAGATGGAAACGCACGCTAAACGGAGAGATGAATGGAATAATAATACTCAAGACATATCCATTTTTAACATTTTTGAAGAGAAAACAATTTCAACATCTATCTTTTTCAATCTGAAAATCAAGGAGAACTTCAGCAATGAGTTTTCATCTTTGCAGTCAGAGAAAACTCGGGGAATATGGGGAAAGCAAGAAATACCAGGGGAAACTCAAAGCATTTGACGGTGACCAAGAATGGAAAGGTTTTGGCCAGTTTGGGATAATTATGTGCGCCTTCTAATCTCAGTGAATGCTACAATGGGCGACATCCTATGACTTGTGCACAAACATAAAATATAACCTTACCCAATTTTACCTTATCCTTACTCCACGAATTTTGGTATATCGTCGCAGAGCTGACATACCGGCGAATTGACTATTTTGGCGATTTCGAGGTTTTGTTATTTTTAGGGTTTATAAAGTTGCTCTTTCAAGCATTTATGCCCAAATTCTGAATTCTTGTCTGGATTTGGAGATTCGGAGCCCCCCTGTGGCGAATTAGTCACAAAAACAAATCCATAATTTGACATAGTAAAGAATACGGAATTTCGCTGGTGACCAGCTTATATAAGGTGTGCGTTCAAGGTACCAATGAATGTTATTCGTCAGTTTGTCGGATTGGCGCGCCGTGCGCGCGTGATCCGACAAACTGACGAATGGCATACAAACATTTACCATCGCTGGTAACCAGCTCAAGCAAGATGTGCGTTCAAAGTACCAACGAATGTTATTCGTCAGTTTGTCGGATTGCGCGCGTGTGCGCGCGCGATCCGACAAACTGACGAATAGCATACAAACAGTGTGAAGATCAACCGGCTAATTTGTAATTTGACAAACTGACGAATACGTTTACAATCAAATAAAATCATATCGCACAACTTTTCTGATTTAATAAGTGACCTGATGGATACTACGTTTCCTATTTTATTTCGAATATACACTAAAAGAGTTATTATCGAAACATTAAGGGTAAAATACAACACCCAGAAAAATGTCCAACTTCAAACGCGAATTACTCGAAACAGGGTTTGTGAGCTCTGCGACGATATATTTGGCTTGGACCACGAGCAATCGATTTAGCCTTTATTTGCGTAAAGTGTTAACAATAGGGCGACGCCAAATTGTGAACCCAATAAGGTGTGTCGGCCTTATAGCAATAATAAGCAAACCCTGTCGTCCTCACACAAGTTTAATTGCAATAATAACAATAAATACAATAATAATTCAGCATTAATAGCCCAATATAATTCAAATTCCTCAAAGCATTTTTCTACAATAACGAAAACCAATAGACACTGGACATGTGCTTGCTGATAAACACCAGCTGTTTTAGCTTTGTGACGTGGTGACTGCACTTCAGTGTTCATTTATAACACATACTGGTCCAGGTACATACCAAGTTACAATCAAATCGGAGGCTATAAATTATAGATATAGCGGCCTTAGAATATACCCCATTTAATGTCACGTCAGCTAAGACTATACCCCCTTAATAAGACGTCACCTGACTTACGATGACGTCATCGTAACGTCACTTAAATTTCATGCATAATAGCACAGCCCGGTATACGTATACTTTATGAAGTCACAACTAAATTGGACATATAGTTTTTTAGATAAAGGCCTTAGAAAAATGCACCTGTAATGTGACTTCACATGAAATGTGATGACGTCATAATGACACCACTTACATTCATTCTGTTGCTTATTCCGTTGTAGGTATCCATCACATAAATATTCGTAGTCCCCGGGGTTCTTTTAGTATTTGAAATGGAGTGCAAATTTAAAAGCCTGGGTTTTTACTTGGCTTTGTTTTCTTTATTTCTCGTTTGTATCAGACCTCCCTATACCATTTAAGAAAATACTTTATGAAACAAAATATCACCCGTTCTCAACGGAGCCGATTTCTGAAATAAAACATCAAGCGTTCTCAACGGAGCCGATCGCAGGTCGAACGTCTGATATGGCCAATGACTAAATTCATTGAAGCATTTTCGAGCTCTAGTCTTCTCGAGACGAAATAGAAGTTAACCGTTTATGAATTTGAATGAAAAAAGTTTTAAATGTGTGGGAAAACGTGTAAGGAAAACTGAGGGGATTTTGTTTTTACAATGTCTCTTATATTTATCCCTTACCCTTTTCTCTCTGCAGAATTATTCCAGAGGCGTGAAGGCGATCAAGTTCTCACCTGACGGTGAATACCTTGCTGCCGGTGACGGTAACAGCCAGGTAGGTTTGAATAGATCCTTAGCATTGCAACCATCTTTGAGGTACACGCTTTTCCACTGGAATAAGAATGAGTATACCTCCCGCAGACTTCCAAAATAATAGTCCTACTTTTCCTACTTTTTGGTTACAAGACCTTCCTGTTGTTTATTTCGCGAACCATCGCTGTAAGAGGGCGCCTGTTGTTTATTCCGCGAACCATCACTGTTAGATGGCGCTATCTACAGACGAACCCACAGACGAACTTTTCTTGTGTTTGTAAACATTGTCGCTATTCTATATGGGCTGCCGCAAGCGCATAACATGTTCGTTTATCTAAATAAGGAATAAGATTGTCACTTGAGAAACTTTGAATCACACAGTCTGCTTCCCATCCACTTAAGTATTTCCAAATATGAATCAATAGGACTTATGTTTAACTAACTTACATTGTTATAGATGTACACAACTAAAAAAACACCAAATTTCAATCTTACGGTTGAAATGGACACCGTTGACTTTGTTGCGGGATTTTTCCACTTTTTCAGCAAGGGGATGGGAAATAATTTTAACGTGTGTTTTCCTTTTTGACAATCCTTTTTTTTGTTTTAAAGCGCTGACCGTGAAGCCAAAGAATTTTTTGTGGTAATGAGTAAAGGCTTAAAACAGGTTTATTCCTCTTTGGTAATGTTCGTGCTTACAGTGTTATTTGTTGTTGATCAAATAGACTCTATTAAGACATCATTGAGAGCTTTTTGTTACTGTAATTCCTTTGGGGGGGGGGGGTGCAGAAGATTGACCTCCAAGATGCTATACAAAAGGCCTAAAAGGCTCTGGGTTGATGCCTTTGTGCAGAGAGAAATGTTTCACATTTTATTTTAGAGGTATTCACCAATCCTTTCATACATTGTACCATGTTCTCAACAGCAGTTCTGGTGTCTTTGAAGGTTGATGACATGTTTCGTGTTCTCCTTCGACCCTTCAAATGATTTGAAATTTAGACAACGGAACTCACTAACAGATGCCAATGGATTCGCCGTTGAAAGATTCATGTCTGTTCACCATTTTTGCAATGACTAACCTTTGTTGAGATGATATGAAGAAAAGAGGGGTGCCAGGTTGCAACAGTCCTTCCTGGAACGTGTTTAATATTTAAGACAGTTGACAAAAATCAAAAGTACATGTAATGTAATTGCAGTTTATTTTAATCCTCAAAAATATTGGCTCCATCAGAGACGCAAACCGCAAGCACTGTATTATAATCTTTGCCAATCACAGTAATTATTTCTTAAGTCTTTTTAATTACTGTTTACCGTATTTTTTTTGTATGAATAAATATCGTCAAAGGCTGAAGTTATAAAGCCCTGTGGTCATGTTTATTTTTTCATTCAGACTAAACTCATTCGTATTTGTGTCGGACACTTTGTTGAATGTTATCACACCATGTATCAGAAATACTTTGTAGTTTTAACCAAAAAGAAAATTATAATTGAATAATCAACAATACCCTATTAAGAAGTTCAGAAAAGAGCAATACATGTACATGTATTCTAAATGAAAATAAAAACAAAAGGAGGAAACACTTGCACTGAGGCTGGGAAGGGCTTGTAAAATCTTCCTTGAATTTCAATGGCATGGAAAATTTGATATTTAAATTAATCATTGGAGCATTAAAGTCACCCCAAGTTCCTTTTTATTGAGCCTTGGCTCTGTAGAGACCCTTTTTAGCAAGCAACAGCAATGAAACAATCTTTGCCATTGAAAATGTGCACAGTTTTCCCAATCCCGGTCAATAGAGGGCGTTCTTTTTCGAACTGCTGATTAAAATGCAAATATTTAAATGATTGGTCACTTTGGGATTGTGGATTTTGGTTTTTCGTGATCCATATGGTCTCAGCTAATAACCTGCAAAATTCATTTAGTTAGGTGCGCCACGAAAATCACTTTCTGAGCACATTTTGCAGCCATGCCCCGTGTTCTACCCCCCCCCCAAGTTTAAAAAGCGTTCCGCCGCCAATACAACGTTGATTAATTTTAGTCTTCAGAAAATGATAATGTAAATCAGCTGAATTTCCAATTACACAACTTGTACATGAAATAACACAGATATTCTATTGAAAGTTCTAATGTCAAACACATTTATCTTCTTTTTAAGATTCATTATTTTTTTCCTTAGGCGTTCTTGTACACTGGACTTGAAGGTGAACTGGTAGGTGAGCTGCAAGATGTGGACGATTTCGCAGCCCACAGACGCGGTGTATATTCGGTGAGTGTATTCATATTTTATCAAGTATTTCATTCTTTGTTGTCAGTACATGCTGTCTTCGAAAAATGGCAATTGTAATACAAGAAGAATAAATATCCCTATCCCGCGACTCATTTTAAAACTTGTTTTGGGGAGGGGCAATAGGATCATATGTATTTATCCCCAAAGTATACCTAGTGAAAAAAACCTTAACCGAATAATTATTAAAAAATCTTACTTGGACCAAAGACCGGACTGGTTGTCACACAGTCACTTTTGGTGACTCCATCGGACAAATAGAATTTAGGAAATATGCCATACACTCCCATAAAATGAATGGAAACCAACTAGACACTTCTCAATATTCTATATACAATATACAAGCAAATTTATTTACACAAAATCCCAAAATATAAATTCATAAATCCAAATAATTTCTACGACTCGACTTATTCAAATTCACGTACAGATTTCCAATAAATTCCCAATCTGCAAATTTCTTCAAATTTGGTATTGCTCAACCCTTCAATAGATTAATAATCTCAAAAATAAATCACTTCCAAATTCAACTACAAGAATTTCCAATATCAATCAATTCTCAACTAATTCTCAATCTGCAAACATCAGGTCTCAAACCATTAATCAATAACCAATCTCCAAAACCAAAATTTTCTCGAAATGTGATCAATAACCTTAAATTGCAAATTTCACTTGAGTTTCAATATCTATACGAAACTCACTTAAACTTCCAAGAAATTAACCGTCTTCAAAATCTCTTCCAAAATACAGTCTCAAAACGTCTACTAAAAATAATCTCAAATTCTACAATGTATCAACCCAACAACTTCAACTCCAATATCTATATCGAATTTAATTTCTGTTTTCAACTTCCAAATTTCACATCAAATTTCATCAGTCTTCAACGCGGGTAAACCTTTTTTGAGTTTTCAAATCAAACTTTCAATCTAAACCGTTTTACAATCTTCCACTGAAAACCTCGATATCAATTAACGACAATCAAGAATAACCTCAATTGTGAACCTCACTATAGAATTGAACTTTTCCTCCAACTGAGCTCTTCAAAATCTTGTGAAAATCTTCCAACTTCAATTTACATATGCCATGAACCTTCTACTGTTTTTAGCAAGTTTTACCTCAGGAAATATTAATATTTACAAAATTTTCCCGACACTTGATACATTCTCAGTCCTAAATGTTCCGCGGACATCACAGTAGATCTCGGCACGCAACATAGATGGTGTAAAAGTGGCTCTACTTCAAATCCCGGAATTACGTGCCATCTAAAGAATTAATATTATACCAATATCTAATTCACTAAATCGAAACCTTAAATTTTTAGTCCTAAAGAAAAACAGAATTATTTTATCTTCATGTTTTCACAAAGTACCTTAATCTTACACTGTCTTTATGAACGATTATGAGATTTATTACAATCATATAAAAGAAAAATAAACGTGAAAATGGTGACGAATAATAAAACCAAAATTTGTGTAAACTTACGGTTAGGAGTTTCTTCACTCGAATATATCAGAGAATCTGCTTGTCACACAAGGCTGTTTAAATAGTCAGCACTTTTTAGGCAATGACACACTGGATATTTTTGGCAAAGCAAAACTCAAAGGTCCTGCGAAATATTGACTCTTCTGCTATCGGTCTCTCGTCTCAACTGACTAGGCCGCACCCCAAGTAACACTGACAAAAATTTCAAGCTCCACTAACCATGGCACTCAACAAAAGGCACATTCCAGCAAAACTCATACAATCAACCATATACCACATATGTCCTTATCAGGTACATTCACTCAACTGAGAAACAGAAAGCATGTGAGAGCAAGACCTGATTAAATATTCATTAGGCCCAAACTATTAGCCAATCAGGGTATTGGGGAAATAAATACACACAGACTGGTTCTTAAAGAAACTTTATTCACTTAAAGGAACAACTTGTACAAACTTACTGGTAAAATAAGAACATTACATATCAAAATACGAAAATTACAGATCAAATGTGACACTGGTACTAAACACCCCTAGAAAATACTCCGTCTGGCTGGCTTTCATTTCGAAGAAATCAAGAAACATGGTGATTTCCAACGAGCAGTCTATGTGACCAGTCAAAGTCAGTCAACCGTGTACAGACCAACTTGTAGGCGCAGCTAGCTTATCGGTTACACACAGCCAAAGCAATTAAAGCTTTATCAAGTTATATTTACGGTCACAGCCAGTCAATTCTGCTTTATATTTAGGCTGGGAATTCTTAACTGTTGAAAACAGTCACTTGATTGATTTTGACTGTGTAAGGGCGCGCCTAGTGGTGCGCTCCCTGGGGTAGTTTGAGCGTGTGCTAACAAACTGGGGTAGGGTGTGTACCCTGGTGAATAATTGGCAGTCAGTTCTAAATAAAGTGATCCAGTGACTCAAATATTGCAGCTCAGAATTTATTTATTTATATGTAATTAATTAGTATGTGTGGAAATCCCTGTAGAAACCCTCTACAAATCCAGAAGATATTTCTCCAAAAATCCAGATCCCAAATCTTCAGTATAAATCAATCAATCCAATCCAATCCGTCTGACAATCAATCCCTTCCGCCAATCAATCCAATCGAATCGAATCGAATCGAATCCCCTATTGATGCAAAATAAAATACAATTCAATGATTCAATCTCTTTCCATGATAAACTAGTAATATAAAAGATAAATGGATACTGTTTCCCTCAAAGCCCTATCATATTACATGTACGTATAACTCACCCAGACCGGACCCGAGACCATGCGCTGCCCTCTCTCGATTCCCGCGATGCTAGCGGACCACGGTCCTTAGCAACGGTACAGTATAACCTATGTACATGTACATGCAAATCAACGTATCGCGTGAACAATGCATGCACATACAGAGAAGTTTCACGGAGTGTGAGTCAAAACAAATCATGAACTCATCACAATAAACAAGCAAAATCTCTTTAAATGAAAGTTCTCAAACTCTCATACCTGCACCAAACTGATCCTGAATCAAATGCGGACAAGTCACTTTCATGCACAATGAACATGAAAAGAGGAAAATACCTCGACTTCCAACGGAACATTTGGAGCTAGAACTTTCCCAACCTTCGCCCAAAACAACGTGGAGAGAGAGAGCTAACACGCATGCGCGGTTGGCCACATCAAAATACTTCAATGTTACTGTACACGATTGACTCTCAGAAAATGACTATAATACATAACAACATTACAATCATGTATCGGTATTATCACTAATATAATCATAAATGAGGTTTCATAAATCACATACCCCTACAACTGTAAGGACTACTTGGCATAGAGTGTCAATCTATGTTTGCATAGGAGGGTTAATATGGTAGCTTATTCTCAAAGGAGATTCCTTGCAATTAAGCGACTGAAAAGGCCAACGAAATAACTTCTTTTGGCAATATAAGTTTCCATTAGTCACGAAACTACAGGGTGAGTAAAAAAAAACGAAACCCAAATATTGGGACCGTTTTAGGGAAGTTCTTCATATAGCACTTTCAAAATCTTGGATATAAAAGCCCAATTTATAAGCTTTCTCTTAGTACAAGAATTATTCAAATCACTGATGTACTTTTCAAGTAACGGAATTTTAAACACAATCACCGTTTTAAGGTTCTGTCCACGGATCACAAAAAAAGTTCAGTGTTCTTTCAGCAAAACGAAAAGAAATCACATAGGGATGTGTGTGAATTGTTTTCGTTTTGCTTAAAACAAAAGAGATGTGGTCCCGAACCGACAAAACAAATGTGACATTTCATAGTTTATTTTAAAGCTAAAGATATTGTGCTCGGCGTTAACATGGTTATGTAGTTATCACTTACCAGATTTTTTTCAATAATACAGGTCGAAAAGTAGACTCATGAATATTCAAAAAATATAATTAGCTGGTTTGACAGACTTCGACACCAGATCGGGCGCAGAACCCTGCAAATCTGAAAGCCGCTGCGCGCAGGGGTCTTTGTTGACAAGTATTCATGGTATTCGCCACCAATACGGGCCGTTATCGCGCGCCTAACTAGTAGTTTGGCGAGTCGTTAACCCTTGTGTGTAGGATCTGTGATTACACGAGGTCACTAATAAGCGTTGGTCTTCTGGTAGCAGACCAGTAAATAAACTTCCATAGACCCCAATGGTAAATGCTCCCACTTCAAAAATTCGGAAAAAATACTCACAACTCTCCAAGGTGTTCGAGACACACATCAAATTAAAGCTTATTTCATCATCTTTCATTTTCTGTTCAATTTACGGGGGGTCAACTGATGACTTTTAGGAGAAATTTCAATCTGAAGACGATCACCCCTGAAAATAGTCCTGAAGCCCATCGCCATTTTGAAAAACGATGCCTACACTCCATTGCAAAATAGAGCGCTTTCAGGGTCCAAATTACATCCAATTTACACAGAACTGCAAGCTCCCAGTCCTGTGCACGGCTTCCACCCATATTTTTTACAAACCCTCAAGTTCATGGCCCACAGCATGCTCAAATACCGAAGATTTTGAGGGCATGCAAATCGCGATTTGGCCAGCGCAGGCAATTTCGGACCGATTTACTGGTCTGCACCCTATAGGTAGCAGACCAGTAAATAAACTTCCATAGACCCCAATGGTAAATGCTCCCACTTCAAAAATTCGGGAAAAATACTCACAACTCTCCAAGGTGTTCGAGACACACATCAAATTAAAGCTTATTTCATCATCTTTCATTTTCTGTTCAATTTACGGGGGGTCAACTGATGACTTTTAGGAGAAATTTCAATCTGAAGACGATCACCCCTGAAAATAGTCCTGAAGCCCATCGCCATTTTGAAAAACGATGCCTACACTCCATTGCAAAATAGAGCGCTTTTAGGGTCCAAATTACATCCAATTTACACAGAACTGCAAGCTCCCAGTCCTGTGCACGGCTTCCACCCATATTTTTTACAAACCCTCAAGTTCATGGCCCACAGCATGCTCAAATACCGAAGATTTTGAGGGCATGCAAATCGCGATTTGGCCGGCGCAGGCAATTTCGGACCGATTTGCTGGTCTTCACCCTTCTGTGTTCGAAGCCCACAGGAGAAAACTCGTGACAAGTTTCCTTTGCGCGGAAAGCACAAAGGTCACATTATGCAAATCAAAGTGTTTAATAAAAACATGCAAATCACTTGCAAACTTGTACAGAAATTGAGGGCGCACTTGGTCCCCCTACATTGCTAGACAATATTATAGCTATTTACAATTAGACTCTGATCTTTGTTATCTTTCACGGTTTCAAAAAAAAATTGGTTTATTTTTCTTTCTCCTTTTTTGGTCTTTGAAGGTGTACTTTAGTCCTGACAGTAAACGGCTCCTTACTGCATCTGGCGACAGAACTGTCAAAATGTGGGATGTTGAAACACGGCAGCTTATCACGTAAGCAAACAGATTTGGAATCTACCTGCATTTAAATCCTTTGATGAAAATAAATCAGCCTGGAATAAAGCCTTTTAAGGACAAACAAGTTATCTATTTCTTCTTCTTTTTCTAAAGCAACTTACTTGCGCTGTGCATGCCTTTCATGAGAGCAGTTTTTGTTATTTACATTCAGTTACAATGAAATTAACTATTTGAGGAGTTAGTATAATAGATCAAATATTGTTACACTGACATGTTTGAAGTTTTGTGTTCGAAAATGCAGGAAAAACCAAGAAAAACAAAAATGTTCGAGTAGTCTGGTTCCCCGACTCCACTAAAGATGAAATGGATCAATTTATAGATGCCGGAAAATTGTAAAGTAAGGGAACCAGTTGTAGCTGGCCTGCACCCGTTCATGAACATGTAACGAAAAGCCAAAAAAATTATAACTGAACCTTTTAAATTTGGAGCAGTAGTTGAACATGATTAGGTTTTCCCACGGTGGTCGGCCGACCATTGTTGCAAATGTATACAAAAATACCATTTTCTTGAAAATGACCTCACACCAGGTGCCATAATTTTACAGGATGCTTTAGACTGTCATTTACCAACACCCTAGTAAGGTATAAAAACTTGGTAGTTTTATTTTTCGATGTTTGCTTATATTGTATATTCCCTTTGACGTATCACCGTTCCTGAGTTAGACAAATGTATTGATTTTTCGTACGATTTGATTGTCTTAGATTTAACGCGCTCAGCGTCCATTTATTTATCATGCAACTGGACATGCAACTGCAGCTGCAACTGGAAAATATTTCACCAGCTGCGTATTCTTGAAACAGGGACTAGTCACAAAATGCACATGCGTATAGTCTGCGTTTTATATTGCGCCGCATTCCTTCTGTCGGCCAAGCAATCCGAATAGCTCAGTCGATACGCGGTGCATGGCGTTATCAAGATAATGGGGTTCGACACTAGTCACGTGACCGTCATCATTTGTGTCCATGTAAATGTAATTATTGTTTGAAATAAAACCAGTTACAAATGTAGGAAATTTCATTAAATCCTCTGTATTTTCGTGTTCTATTGCGATAAATGTCAAAGCCAAGTCATTGAACTTGGGGTGAATTTTCAGTTCATTAAAAACCTTTTAATTCACAAGTGGGAGGGAAATCAGGGGAGGGGAATCAGATGCCAAGTTTCTTGGAGGAAGCCTACTGTGTGTTATAATGACAAGGACACGGCTTTTTACGAGTCAATGATCAAAGACATGTAACCGAGCTGGGAAGATTACGCAGAAAATTCAAAGTGACACTGGGCTATAATTCCACTAAATTGATAAAATTTCATTACTACATAAACAGACAGTCATTCTTCAGCAGTCTGTAATAACAGAAAACAGAAGAATATAAATTAACTTAATTTCATTACAAATATACAATGACTATGAATCCAATTATTCAATTATTCAATTATTTACATAAAGCCACTTCTCCTTACCCCCTTGGTTATCCCTTGTTTAAGAGAAATTACATTACCGGTTCTATTAACCTCAACTTCCATTGATTTGTTCTATAGAAATGTTTCTGGTACGAATTTATACATTCATGAAGAGAGGCATAAAAAATAATCAAGGAGAAATAATCTCCATATGCATACGTTTTGCAACAACTGTTCAAAACATTAATCTACACGTCTCTAATTTCTTAGGCACATTTCAAGCAATATTATTCCATACACGTACCCAAATGTTATGGACGCTGGATAAAGGAGGATACACTGGTCCACTCAAGCAGTATTGTAGTACTCGTACTCGAGTACTACTCGAGTACTTTTTTGGAGTAGGCCTACTCGTACTTGTACTCGTACTCGAATGTCAAGGTACTCGTACTCAATACGACGGTAGTCGTACTCCAGCAGCAGAGTACTCGTACTCGCACATTTCGAAATTGTACTCGATCATCAAAGTACTCGTACTCGAATAACAGTACTCGATAAAACAAAGTACTCGTACTCGAATATCAGTACTCGATAAAAAAAAATGGTATAGCACTTACGTTACCACGGCCTTATTTTATCGATACTTTGAGTTTCAAATGACCGATTGCGGAGAAATCTAAATGTTTTCTTTACTCTACGCACGTCCGTACAGACACAATTAACAGTTTCCGTGACTGTGTCTGTATATAGGTCTGACTGGGCCGGGGCCAACTTACCCACGATAACCCATTTGTCGTGGGCACAATGACCGATCATTGTACACACTGCACGCCGAGGTGTTCCTCAAAATGGGCGTACGATTAACTTGGGTGATTGGAGCAAAGCCGTTTTCTGAACCCCGGTTTCGGTACCATAATACAGGTCCAGCCCATTGCCAAATTTGCATGAATGGCAAAAGAGACACAGCCGAAGCCGAAGTTTGAAAAACGGCCCCTAGTCTGGTTACGGCAGCAGGTCCACAACGGCCTAGCCTTAAACAGAGGCCTATGAATGGGAAGCAGTCTAATAGCGTACTGAATCACCTGCCAAAAAAAAAAACACACGCGCATCTGCCAAGTTTTTTGCATGCACGTTGCATGTACTTTTGTACGTTTACGCTTAGGCTTACGCTTGCCTGTGTGGCACTTCAGTCACTTTTTTGTACCCAAATTGTATATGTTGTTCGTGCAAAGAACAAAGTTTGGATTCTAAACGCTTTGTGGCGCGATCTGAGGCAATTTCTGGTCACTTAAAGCAATGTTTTTGAGCAACAGATTATTTTTTTGAACATAATTTTCGGCTTCGTAGTCACTGAATCAGCCATTCTTTGCTGAACAATCATTATGTAGGCAACAAGTTCATTTTGGGACTCAGAAAAGTGACGGGAAACGATATACCCCTATTTGAAAAGTTGTCCTCTCCCTCTCCCGCCGTCCACCACCGATAGAAACCAACACGGCTAGGCGAGTCGATCGTGTGAAAAAAAAAGAACCCAGAACACTGCCTCTAACTTCCCTTTTTTTCACATTCTAGGACTTTTAATATGGGCACGGCGGTTGAAGACGAGCAGGTCGCTGTCCTGTGGCAAGAAGATTACATCTTGTCTCTTTCCTTGGGGGATGACATATATTACCTGGACAGGAACAACCCTGACACTCCACTGCGGATTATCAAGGTGAATAGAGTCAGTAATAATAGCGAATAAATATCGTCCTGTGCCAAGGAAAAGGACACTAGCAGCTCAGTAGCACAGACATGCAAAAAAATTAGTAACACTTTTAAAGGTTTTGTCCTCCCATTTCTTAATTATAAATCACATAAAGCTGAGATTTTGACTCACGAAATTCGTGAATAAATATAGTATTTGAACATTTCTAATAAGGAAATACATTTGTGCTTGTGAGGTTTTAAACACTATCTTTAAGACCGGTTGGAGTCTTGGCGCTGATAATAACCCGAGCCAAAGGCGAAGGTAATTTAGGGACCGTGACCATTCATCCCCGGTATGAAAAGGGCCCCCAGTAAGCTCGTCCCCTCACAAGAAGTCATTTCGCACCGTCACAGCTACTAGCCCAGGAGCTGATCCGGTTGCTATGATCAGGAACTCCTCTATCCTATGGTCTATTGTTTGCAAGTATTGACACATATATCCCAGAAGAAACCCGCTTGTGGTCATCTCTCAGCGCGAAACAATAGAACACTTTCGTCGGCACAGATCAAAACCCCTGCCATGCGGTTTCGCGCACAATGGGACCGTAAATTACCAAGGCGTTTGGAAGGAATTTATCTTTAATCCGGTAAGTCTGCTATTGTTCTGCTCTGGAGGTTCTCTGAAGGGCAATAAATTGATGCACCTGACTTACTTCAAAACTTCTGGTCAGACAGGACCATGTACCGGACGAGAATGGGCTAAAGACCGGACTGGCTCTGGACCGGACGAGGTACCGGGGGGCCCTTTTCATACCAGGGCTGAATGGTCACGGTCCCTTACTGCGTCCAGACTCCAACCGGTCTTAAACATAGTGTTTAAAACCGGCCAAACACACATTTATTCCCATTCATCAATACCTTTTTATTGTCCGATAGCAAGATTCTGATTCTGATTCCCTCACCCTACTTCAGACTAAGCAGAGCAATTTATAGTCGGCCGGGAATTGTCAGGTCAGGGAACCAGACTCAGTTTTGCTGGCTTGCTCCAATTCACGGATGTGAAACTGATTGCCAAAAATGTGGACTGACTACCGGTACATTTGGTAATATGGGGGGCAGTATTTGAAGAGAAATAAAAAAAAATCCCCAACGATCGTTGGAAATCGATTCAAAAATTCCCTTTAATTTTCTTGAAAATGAGACCACATCACTGTGCCATGATTTCACAGGATGCTTAATAAGACTGTATTCACTCGCAGTCAAGTGGTATTTCATTATAATCTGGTAGTTGTGATAATATGCTACTTGCAAATGTCGTATAAATTGTGGACTGCTGTGGTGTGGGATATGACGCTTTTGACACCCAGGGGGTGCATAGCACCCGCCGAGGCGAATCGTACCAATACTTCAAAAGGATATAATATTATGGTTGTGACTTACTTTGTGAGAAATATATTAAATCACTCCGATGTACCTTTTGATAATTGGAGGTTTTGATGTCCTTGGTGCCAGACATGAGACTGAGGGTTTGACGTTGCAGTTCTCGTTGCACACAGATTCCACGCAACGATTCTGGCACTTTCCACATACGCCGCAAGGCGCGTATTGAACGCAGTGCGATGTCACCCTCAGTGCGTGATATGCATTTTTATTGTTTAGACACATGGTCGTCTAAAAGACCAATGCGTTACAGTACCCATGCACACGATATAACAATAGCTGTTAATCAAATCTTTGGAATGATTATGTTCTGCGCGACTCTGGCAGTCTGACTGGATACAATCCCAACCCATTCACCATCCCGGGCTGAAAGTTGCAAAGCATGTATAGTGGCAAAATAAAGCAACAACAACTGTTGACAAGTTAAATACAAGTGCCCACTAATTTTTATGGGAATAAATGGAATTTGTCTGTGCTGGTCACTGCTTCACGCACAAACAAAAGGTAAGATTTTGAAAGTTCTGACGTTTTTCAGAATTTTCGATCTCACCAGCTGACCTTGACGCAGTGCACGTTATTATTATTATTTTAATTTCTTTTTTTTTTTGGTGCTGTTGAGGTCAAATCAATTATAACAATGATAATAATTGTTCATATTAATTACATAATTAAATGGTACCTTTGGGAGACACGTTATCGTATTTTATTCTAACGGAGGGACACACAGGACAAAAGGGGGACGAATTTGATGTTTTCTAAGGACCCCTGTAGAGGCAGAATTTTACAGTCGCAATTCGGTAATATTTGCTGCTCGTGGTGTAATGAATACAACCAAAATACAATAAAAATCTAAATACAATAAAGACGATGACAGTAGACCAACTAGACGAGCATATACCAGGCTGGAATGCAGACCGGTTGTTTTCGCCGGACACTAAGGCCTCCGAAAATCAATAGGTGGTGATGGGGGGGGGGGGGGGGGGGGGGCTCGTACCATATTTTCAATGGGGAACGCTGTTAAATCCTAGAGTCAGGCAACTAAAAGTGTACAAATGCACCCTTCGCACGACTATTTATTTTAGGAGGACACCGTTCGCATATACGTGACATTCTTACATTTAGCAAAAATTTGTCTTCTGGCATATACATGTATAGTGAACATGTACATAAACAATTTACTTGTAAAGTTGGCCGTTCTGAAGCACAGCCTGCCAACGTGCATGCGTTTAGCTAAAGCCTGACGTGCTTTGTCTAGCTTAGCATCAACAATAGTGCTGGTGCCTAGCGTGGTCTGAGTAGATCTGTGGAACACTGGTGCCTAGGGCATACGGAACATTTTAATCCAGCCCTGAAAGTTCCAACACTTAATAAATCTTCTGTGATTTGCATTTTCCTTAAAAAAATCTTATAATTTCGAAGAACTGTCTAAAACGGTATCTAAAAAGATAAATAATTTTAAATGTCTATTTTAAAATTTGCTTTCTGCAGGGTCACAGCAAACGCATCGTCGCGATGGTCCTGTCTAGCGACGCCAACACCATTTATTCGGCCTGCCTGGACAAAGTTCATATCCTTTTAATCCCTAAAAACATGAACTGTAGTATCGTATTACGTGTACACGGTAATTGTTCTCTGATGAAGCCATAAAAATGCAAGTGATTGTGCAGTAAAGGTAACCCACAAACAAAGCGGTAATATGATCTTAATAGTCACAATTATGGTTTATCATAAACTATGGACAGAAGGCTGGTCAATGATATCTCGGATACACACATGCATCTGGCATGCATGACTGCTGCCCTTGCTGGTATGTAGAAATCCTCTTGGAGCAGTTAGGTGTAATACTTGTTGAACACAACCAGACACAGCGTCGTTTCCTTTCCCCCACTTTGCCCCCCCCCCCCCCAGTTTTCAGCCAACACTTTTTGAGATTCACAGCAAGCTTAAGACAGCCCTGTACGTGGTTTCAAATTTCAGGGTTTGTTTCCCTGACGATGATCCAACTATGAGCCGAAAATTGTTTTGATATTTTCAGTATTTTTCGTTAAAATTGGAAAAATAGGCCTGGTCACGTGCATTTTTAAAAGTTGTAACACTTATGTTTTCAATATCTGTCAATCTTTTCAAGCCTCGCGGATATTAAAAGTCTGGCGCTGCCAGTAACCAGACATAATACAATTAGCTTCAAGGGATATTGTACTTTATATAAACATGAACCATTGAAGGTAGAAAACTTTTAATGTAAACACCCTCCACATATCCACCTGCCTTGTTTTTAAATTCACAGTCTTCAGCGGTGGCACTGTCAGAATGACCCCGAGAAGAAATGAATAAACGGAAGGGGGAAAGCTTACTTGGTTTACAAAACACAAATGAAGTCGAGAAAAGGACGACAAAACAATATCTGACTTGGACTACAAAAAATTTAATAAATCCAAGTAAAGGTCACGGTCAAAGGCTAAACAGGTCTTCCAGTGCGCACTGACATATTACACAAATCGATAGGCGAAAACAATGAACAAAAATTCGGGAAAGATTCTTAAATAATAAATCAGCGGATAAAATCCAACCTCAAAACAAAACTTTCACAATCCGCTGTCTACAAGACTACAACGTTCGTACAAAAACGCTTCTACTTAATTAAACCCGTCAGGGTTTTTGAGATTAAGGAATTACAAGTAATAATCCAAAACTATTAATCCCTAAAAATTGTTCTTTGTAGAGTTCGTTCAGCCAGACTCAGAAAATCATGCAGTTCCGTTTACGGAAAACGTTCGTTTTAAAACGAGCCCACCTCAGCCCACGTTCGTTAGTCCTGGACTTGCAGGAAACTGCCGGTGTCCACTTCACCGTTCGTTGCGGTCCACCGCGCTGGTACTAGCCTCACTCGGAGCAGTCGATAGGGTTGGTGGCACTCGTACTGGCCTGGGTGGGATAGCCTCAGTGGGGAATTACGTGCCTCCCGTACTTCCGTGCTAGTTGGCCATCTAAATAAAAGATTTATTAAGTAAAATATCTTCTCTACTAAAATAAACACAATCTTGGCTACTGCCTTATCAATCAATGTCCAAATATGACATCACTGTGCAATATTCTTTAAAACAATGATCATGATCTCAATCAATAGACTTTCTACACCAAGGGAAATGTAGCTAACTTTCTCAACAATCAAGTAAACATCAAGAAAGAGGAAAAGGAGGTGAAAAATCACTCCTAAAGGCACATACTATACAATAAATCTGGATAGTTCGTAACGTTAAATATGAACACACATCATTCCTTTAAGGTACATCTATATCTAAGACTCTCAGGCTTTCTTTAATCGGATTTAAGTCATATCCAACACACATGTCATTCTCTGGGAAAATGACTAGCATGAATTTATATAAACACATAACATTTAAATTAGAAAATAACTGAATACTCACAGTCACAAGAGACTCTTCTCTTCTTCGAAAAAACATGGAATGTAGCCTCAAACCATGTGCCCCTCACAAGCAAATAGGTGTACTGGAGAGTCAATATCTCTCAAAATCACACACAAAATAAATGGATGGCAATCGAAAATTATTACAAGTTGCAACATCCAAACAGAAGTAGAATCGCTGCGGGGCAATAATTGCTAGCAGGCCGCCGGCACTGCTCGAGCTGTCAAGCCTTCTGCCGCACCTAAATAAACAAAAGCCTCGCCACGCCACAATGCTCCCAGAAGTCCGTAGGACCAAAAAACCTATTCAAAGTTTCCCGCGACGACAGTACCTTTAACCTTTCTTTGTGACCAAAACCATTCAACCTTGGAACAACAACAAACGTGACTATGACCAACGACGCACACAGACCTAGACATGTACAAGTCATCTAACCACTAAAAGTTACATCAAAGTTACTCGCTAAAAAAAAAGACGTTGTGACATTTTACTCCCCCTTTAAGAGAAAATGTTTCACATTTTCTAATCTGCTCGGAGAAAAGGAAACAAAGTGTTATTTACAATCAAAATATACACATATATACACTGTTGAAAATTCAAGGTAGTCATTTACAAATATCATAGTATACTTACCTTAAAGCTACTTGTGCAGCAAACTGGATATCCGTGTAATGGTATACCTACCTACTCTTCAGCACTGGAGCGACTGAGAAAGTCGGCTCCGACGTTCTGAGACCCTTTTATGGCCTCAATCCTCATCCTGTAAGGTTGCAAAGAAAGTGCCCATCGCATAATACGGCTGTTGACGACCCGAGCCTTCTGCATATACACAAGGGGTTGATGATCAGTCTCTAGCACGAATTGTCTGCCATACAAGTACGTTTGGAATTTTTTGACAGCCCAGACAATTGCTAGACACTCACGCTCGATGGTGGAGTAAGCCTGTTCCCTAGGTAGCAGCTTCCTGCTGGCGTAGTGAATAGGAAACTTCACACCATCCCTTTCTTGCAGAAGGACAGCCCCCAGTCCCACGTTCGATGCGTCTGTCCGAAGAATGAAATCTCTTCGCACATCAGGAAGATGGAGAATAGGTGAACTGGTCAGCACTTGCTTCAGTGACTGAAAAGCCAGTTCCTGACTCTGACCCCACACAATTTTGTTCGGCTCCTTGTTCTTCGTCTTGTTGTAAGTGGTACTGCGATTGCTGCAAAGTTGGCAACGAATTTTCTGTAGTATCCAACGAGACCTAAGAAAGAGCGCAGTTGTTTCTTCGTCTGGGGTTGTTGGGCCTTCAAAATCTTCTCCAATTTGTCCTGGTGAGGTTCAAGTCTCCCTTGTCCGATTGTATGCCCGAGAAAGTCAAGCTTCTCAAAACCAATCATGCATTTCGCAGGGCGAGCAGTGAGCCCTGCCCGATGGAGACTATGAAGCACTTCTTTGAGAGCCACAATGTGAGATTCCCAATCTGGTGTATGTATCAAGATATCGTCGATGTAGTTGTCGACATGCTGAATACCTTGTAGTACAATCCTCATCATGCGACTGAAGGTGGCTGGAGCATTTATCAAGCCAAAAGGCATGGTTCTAAACTGATACAGCCCATCTGGGGTGATAAAAGCCGTCTTGGACCTGTCTTCCAGTCTCACCGGGATCTGCCAATATCCTTTTGTAAGATCGATCTTGGAGAAAAACTTGTCTTGAGAAAGATGAGCGAATATTTCGTCGGTGACTGGCATAGGCTCAGCATCGAAGACAGTGATTTTGTTGAGCTGCCTAAAGTCGACACAAAATCTATTGGTGCCATCTTTCTTCCGAACCAAAACAATTGGCGAAGCGTACGGTGAGTCGGACCTCTCAATCATCCCCAAATCTAACATACTCTTGACTTCCTTCTTCACCGTGTCACGGACTGCATGAGGCAAAGGATAAGGCTTAGACCTTACTGGCTGATCTGTAGTGACTTTGATGTCATGAACAGCAACATTGGTTTGACCAGGAAGATCAGTCAACGATTCCCTGTTGTTCCCCAGAATCCGGCGAACCTGTCGAATCTGCTCAGAAGATAGATCAGGGTTGACTGATACATCTGAAGGAGACTCTTTGGCTTCTACTGCCGGTAGTTCGATGTCATTTATGAAGTCAGACCCATCTGGGAACGAAGTGATGTCTTCGTTGTCGTCATCACTGATGACAGCACATCCAACTACCTCAATGACACCGCGCTTAACTGTTGTTTCTGGTGCATCTGTTTCACTTGTACCATCCCTCTCGACGTATTTCTTTAGAAGGTTTGCATGGAACACCTTGACTCTACTACCTAAATGGATACGGTAGTCCATCTCGCCAACCTTTTCAATGACAGGGAACGGCCCTTTCCACTGCATTAGGAGTTTGTTGTGGTCCGTTGGAAGCAGAAGAAGGACCCGGTCACCCACGTTGAATTTCCTTGCACGTGCCTTCCGGTTGTAGTACATCTTGGCTCTGGTCGATGATCTCCTCAACTCCTCACGTGCCAGTTTGCAGGTTTGTTCAAGTCGATCTTGCAGATCGAGAACGAACTGATATGTAGACCTGACTTCAGGTGTCTCCACATTCCCCGACCACAACTCCTTCAAGATGGTCATTGGACCTCTCACTGACCTCCCATATAGCAACTCGAACGGCGAGAACCCAAGACTCGCTTGAGGAGTCTCTCTGTAGGCAAACAAAAGGGGGTTAATATACCGATCCCAATCTTGGGGACGCTCGGCACACATACGCTTCAACATTTGCTTCAAGGTACCATTGAAGCGTTCCACAAGCCCATTGCATGCGGGATGGTAGGGAGTTGTGGTGAGCTGTCTCACAGATAGCAATCGGCTTACCTCCCTCATGACATCTGAGGTGAACTGGGACCCTTGATCCGTCAGTACCTCACGCGGCACACCAACCCTGCTGAACACGTCCACTAAAGCCTCAGCAACTCTGGTTGCCTCGATGCTTCGAAGTGGCACAGCCTCGGGGTACCTGGTGGCATAGTCGACTACTGTCAAGATGTAACGATGACCCTTGGTAGTAATTGGCTTGATGGGACCAACGATGTCTACGGCTATTCGCTGGAATGGCGTCTCAATCAGTGGCATCGTACCCAGGGGAACCTTGGTCACACGTCCCTTGTGCACCGTTCGCTGACACACATCACATGACCTGCAAAATCTAGTAACATCAGACTGTAACCCTGGCCAAAAGAAACTAGATAGAATCCTGTCAACAGTTTTCCTAATCCCCTGATGACCACCAAGGACAGACTCACGAGCTAAAGCCATAACATGATTGCGATATTTCTCAGGCACAACCAACTGCTGTAAAGGATCACCGCACTGTATCTTCGGTGAGAAGAATTGTCTATACAACAAACCATTGGAACTATAGAACTTGGAGGAATTATTCTTACCAGTAATCAACTCTTCTCCTGATGATGCCAACTCATAAAACCGATGCAGACTAGGGTCAGCCTTCTGAGCGGCGATGAAGTCATCTCTACTGATGTCCGGCAGAGGATGTTTTGGTATCTTCATTGGACGAAAAGGTCTCTGTTCGGCTGCCTTCTGGGCCCTCGTCTGAACAGCTTGAGCTTCATCATGGTGTCCGTCTCCTGGTTGATTCTGACGAGTCTCTGTCATCTCTTCAACACTGTCAACGGGATGGATATCCTGTAATTGACTAGAAGGTTCCTGTACACCAGTTATATTACCAATGATGAGGTCATAAATTGGGTTACGCATACACAACGCCTTGGTATAACCTGTAAAGAATGGTGTGTCAACGTATATTCTAGCAACTGGAAATTTGCAAACAGTACCATCAATAAGAACACACATTCTTGTCTCACCTGTCAGCCACTTGTCATTAACCAAGTCTCGTCTCACTACGACACCGGAACATCCACTGTCCCGAAGACCTTGGACTCTGCAGTTTCCTAACTGACCTTCTGTTACTGGCATCTCGACTGTGGTGGATTGTGTACATGCGGCACTCATCACCATCAACTCATGTCCGCACATCAGAGTAACATGGTCGTCATCTACACAGCAATCTGCTAGACCTTGACCTGCGACCAGACATGCTGCAGTCTTCACCGGTCCAGCTCCTGTGGTCTAGGAGGTTGGAGAGGTGTAGCTTGGCTGCAGTGATCGCAGGTACAGCGAGTACACTGTTGCTGCTGTGGAGTTCCCTTAGTTGTCTCCTGGAATGCTGATTGTTTCTGGTTCGATGCTTGGTTCCTCTTCCCAGTAAACTTCATCCCAGCTGTCTTGGTGTGTTTAGACTGCGCCTGTTTCCGCTTGAAACAGTCACGAGCCACATGACCTGGCTTTTCGCAGAAAAAGCAAACAGGACGAGAAGTAGAGTTATTGCTACTTTTACCTGGTGGAGCTGGCTTCTTGTCGCTATCAGGTCGTTTGAAAGACGAGCGGGAACCGAGATGTTTCTTGGAGTCGGACGTCGATGACCCAAAAGTGGTTCCACGCGCCTCTTGAAATTGCTCAGCTAACACGGCCACTTCTTTGATGTCTTTGGGCTGCCTCTCCTTGATAAACAAAGCAAGATCTTTATCACTAGCGTTAATAAACTGTTCCCTCAAGAGCAGATCTTTAACGCCATCATACGTTTTCTCACTTTTAGCTAAATCTACCCACCTTGAGAAGAGATTATCTAATCTCACAACAAACTGTGGAGCAGTTTCACCAACCTCAGGCCTTGCGGAACGAAACTTCTGCCGAAAACCCTCCTGAGTGAGCTGGTAGCGCTTGAGTAGTGCACTCTTGAGGACCTCATAATTACCTGCTTCCTCTGCGGCAATGCGGGTGTACACGTCCAGTGCCTTGCCTTTCAGGAGCGCGCTCAGGTTGATAGACCAGTCCTTCTCTTCCCATCCTTGTGACTTGGCGTAGCGCTCAAACCTCTGTAAATAAGAATCTATATCATCTTTGTCATCTTCAAAGAAAGGAAGTTTGGGTGCACGGGCTTTCATGGTGTTAGTTACATGGGATTTAACATCCTTACCATCATCCTGTGATTTTACCTGGAGTTGTAACTGCAGAATTTCTATCTCCTGCTTTTTCAACTCACGCTGGTGAACCCTGACCTCTTTAGCCAAACGCTCCATCTCTCTCCTTTCTTCTGCTTGCAGTTCTCGTAGTTCCTTTTCCTTCTGCTCATTTTCTTTCTGTTGTTCCTTCTGAAACTCTCTTTCACTCTTAATGAAATCCAATAA